TGGGACCCTTGTTCTTGGTGCAGAACTTTTGGTCACTACTGGTCTGCCTTGCCCCCTGCTAAATCAGAGCCACCCATATGGAAGAAAAATATATTTGAAATATATTTTAAAAATATTCTTCCCAAACATATTGATATATATTTGAAATGCTACAATTTTGGTCATATTCTATATATATATATATATATATATATATATATATATATATATATATATATATACTTAATGTTGAAATGCATTTTTTACATATTACAAAATATATGAAAAATACTTTTAAAAATACTATTTAAATATATTCTTCAGATTTTGTGTAACATATAAAAAAGTCATTGTAACATATATTTTCACATATATTTATAAATGCATTCTAAAAATGTAGATCTGTATTTTTTTAAAAATATTTTTCATATATATTTTGTAATGAAAACACATTTCAACATGCAGAGTATATGTGTGTGTGTGTGTATATATATATATATATATATATATATATATATATATATATTTGAAATATATTGAATATGGCCAAAATTGTAGCATTTCAAATATATGTCAATATATTTGGGTAACATATTTTTAAAATATATTTCAAATATATATTTCTTCCATGTGGGCAGGGAATGGAGCATGCTTTGTTGACTATAGCACTAACAATATAATTCAGTAAGGTCAGTGTGTCATGCCTCTGCAAAGAGACCTCATACAGTAGAGATCAAGGGTCCCACTCTGTAGCATGTTGGCTGGGGACAGGCCTTTTTCCTCAAGCTGTGGCTGCTTCAGGATGAAAACGTACTGTAAGACATTGAACAACTTTTGTTTTGTTGTACCTGAAATGTATGTAGCTGATTTAAATAGAAGGTATATTTGGGCTTTAACCAATTTGTTTCTAGAGCAACTTTTTTCATATTTTTCATACATGTAACAATATTTCTATTTGGCAATAAACCCACAGAGCCTTATATATTTTCTGAAAGCAGAGGCTCTGTAGAATAAAAAAGATGTTAGTTGCAAATGTTTAAGTCACATGATATTGGCGCAACTGTTTATTAAACGCAAATTAGTTTTTTTAGTGCAAACATACACAATATAATGCCCATTTTTTGGTAAATAAAAAAATAAGGGTGCGTTGAGTTCATAGATACCAAACATGCCAAATCTTAAAATTGTTTGCACCTTTGATATTGCAAAAAAACTTATTTTATGTATTTATTTGTTTTTACTTGGTTGTTATCACAAATGGCTAATAAACCTCCATGTGACAGCCATGGGCAGGTGACAGATACTCTTTATGAAGACACCAGGGGTTTATTTACTAAAGCTGGAGAGTCCAAAATCAGACTCCCTTCTGCATAGAAACCAATCAGCTTCTAACCTCAGCTTGTTCAATGAAGCTTTGGCAATGAAACCTGGAAGCTGATTGCTTTCTATGCAGAAGTGAGTCTGATTTTGCACTCTCCAGCTTTAGTAAATAAACCCCCAGGGGTCTAATAGACCTCAGTATCTCCTCTGCCCTACCCAGCATCTAACCAAACACAGATCGGCTTGGTTAGATGTGTCCCCTGTCTATACCAGCCAGGAGATGGTGGATATTAAACCAGAAGTGACAAAATCATCGTTGCTTTGGGGTTTTTTTTTACAGGTGAGATTTAGGCATGGATTTGAGTCGCTCTCCATCCTGAAGCTGGCAGTTGTGGTCCCAGGCTCCATGTAAGAGCAGGAAGTGAGGGTAGGGCACCACACCGCCCACCTTGTGAAAATGCTCAGTGGCTATACAGCCATCACATCACTCACTTTCACTTTGCAGCCAGGAGCCGGCTGAACAAGCCTAGCTCAAGCTGACAGCTGCAGTAGTAGGCACGTAGTATGTCCAAGGAACTGAACTGGTTAAAGAATTGGTTAAGGAGTTAGGTTGACATTAAAAGTTTGCATGTCTTAGCACTGACCAGGCAGGGTGTCATTGGATGCTGGAAACTAGGAGCATGACTAGGGCTCATGGATAGTTACAATGGGAAAGGAAGAAGAGAGGGTCCAGCAGTAGCCACCAATCCACATCTAGTATAAAGAGACCTCAAAGTGGTTCTAAAGGCTGACGTTTTTTTTTACCTTCGTGCATTAATTTCATTCATTTGATGCATGATAATATAAGTATAATAAACTGTGCTTAATTGAGAAAACTATACCACTAGGGGGCACCAACATCCAATATTGATATAGAAAAATGACACCAAAAAAAAAAAAACCCCATCATGGACTTTTACGGTACCCAAGGAATATGAGATTAAGACACAAATTTTTATTTTATAAAATATATATACATTTTATAACTAGAAATTTTAAATGGAACCATATTAGGCTCTATTGAATCACACTGCTTTCTTAGGTGACATTACAAGACATCCAACAGTGGAATGTGACTTCTAGAACAGGTATTTGGGAAACAAGATGTGTGGAGCCCTCTACATGTTTCGTTACAAGTGTCGCTTCATCAGGAGGAATGAGCCTGTAGGTTATCGACAATAAAAAATTAGAAAAGGGTTATCTACATTTTATGAATGAAAGTTAAAACACTTCTGTATCCAGCTCTCCCGCAAAGCGCCCCCCTTATACTTAGCTGAGCTGACCTCGATCCAAAGATGTGCATGGGGGCCTTGGCTCTCCTGGGTATCTCTTTCTTCATTGGTTGAGACATAGCAGTGGGAGCCATTGGCTCCTACTGCTGTCAATCACAGCCAGTGAGGAGGGAAAAGGGGTGGGTGCCGAGTCCCTCTGTCTATGTCTATGGAAGTGGTTTCCTATCGGGACACTCGCTGAAGAGGAGGAGCTAGGAGCACCTGCGTGGGACCTGAGAAGAAGAGGATCGGGGCCGGTCTGTGCAAAACCACTGCACAGCGCAAGTAAGTATCATATGTTTGTTATTCTTCTTTTTAATTTTTACCATTAGATTCACTTTAGGTTCCAGAGGGCTTTTTTGCAGCAATACAGTCTTTACTCCTGAATTCCCTAATATGTTTTTTAATTGGTGGCTGCTGCTTGCATTATTGTACTATTCACAGTGCTATTTTCCAGGGCCAAATTATGTTAGCATCCCTGGTTTTTAATATAATATAAAAAATGTATATATTGAATTATGCAATCCACCATCATTCACCCATGACTGAAAGATCTTACAGAAAAGGTCATAAACACAAATGCATGCTACTAAGTCAGTGATGCCAAACTAGATAGATTTGTAGTCACAGATGAACCTCAAATTCTTTTTAAAGTGTTATTAAACCCATGACCCTGCATTCACTATATCTGGTCTCCCACAGTACACAGAACATGGGAATGCAATTATTTTAGTAAATATAAATTGCTAAATATCTTTTCTCATCAGCAGTTAGAGCAGTCTTGTGACTTCTATCAGTGTCCAGCAGAGCACTGGTTAAAGCTTGTGGGATGAGTTTTCATTCTCCTCTCACTGCCCTAGGAGATTGCATAACCCCTGACCCTGTGTCTGGACAGTGCTGATTGGCCCAGTGCTGATCACATGCACCCTCTCAAGAAAAATAAAAAACTCTCTTGCCATACACACCAAACTAAGCATGTGCAGAGTGTCACCAAGGCTCTGTTCCATGAGGAGATGAAATGGGGAAAGTAGAAGAAGCGGATCAGAGAAGACTAGATCAAACATCCTTTATACACAATGCAGAGGATTAACCCCTAACTTCCACAGTGAGTATAACAAGCATGGTTTACTGCATATACAGACTGATTTTTACTGTTGTGGGTTTAGTAACACTTGAAGAGTTGCAGATTATATTTCTACTCATCCATGTCAAAATGCAAATGGAAACAATTTTGTTCAGTCTTACTGTTTAAACCCTATTTGATCTGGGACTTTAAAAATTCATCCATGAGCCCTAGGCATTTCAAATATATATGCCTCTAAAGCACCATACAACCAGCTGTGCCAAGTTTGCCATCAGTAATAGCCGGCAATGCATTGCTTTTACAGGTTATGATTTCATTCTGTTTCACCCTCACAAAAGTCTGTGTTCAATGGGAAAGAATCAAATTCTTTTTAACAAAACAACCATTCCTCATCAGGCCTGGAGGGCCACCAAGAGAGCACTGAAGAGCCTCATGTGGCACGAAGGCCATCAACTCAGTACTAGCAGTATAACTGCTTATGCAGTCATTACGATTACAGATTACGGTTAAGAAAAATAAGGAATATATATATTTGTGTGTTGTGTGTGTGTGTCGCTACCCTCAAGGGCCGCTGGGTTTGGTTGGGTCCCCCTCTGCACGGCCTGGCAACGCACATTTTCCACTTGCACACTTGAAGTCAGTAATACAGTCCTTGAGCTGGTTTTTAGTTGTTTCTATTAAGGGGTTAACAACTTGGATGGGCTCTAGGGTTATATGGGATGTCCAAGGAAATGTAAACTTGAGGACAAACTTCTTAGCAACCTGTACACTGTACGAGAAAAAATGTGGACCCGCAACAATAGCACTGTCTCTTTAAGGAGCCCTAAAGTCCCCTTGGTGTACCTCCTTAGACACTAGATGAATACTTCCTCTTCACTCGGCTAAACTGAGGGTATCCCTGGGCAAGGGATTCCAAGATCTAGCAATAAAGTAATCATGGATGAGAACTAACCATCCACCACCTCCCTTTGCTTGGCCAAGGGGGTGTAAACATACTCAAACTGCCCTGTCCTGTCAGTGTGGTGGGTTGTTAGATGCTTTCAGGCTTTTCGCTGGGCTGGCTCCTTCCCTGCTGCTCAAGACGTCCTATGAGACCTTGGGCAGTGGATATCCTCCTTTACAGCATCCTGCCTGTTGGTAGGCTCCCCTCCCTGGGGCCCCTTCCCAGGCTCCACACTCCAGCCTTCTCTCAATCCATCTTCCATCCGACTCCCCTTCTGACCATGTCTGTCACATTTAACCACTTCCCGACCGGCCGTTGTATATAAACGGCCGGACGGTGGCACTGCAGGGTCGGGTGGCTGTTTATAAACAGCCTCCCCGCACCCTGCTTGTGCGCGCTCCCTGGGAGCGCCCCCTGTGCCTGCTGATCGTCGGACGGGACCTCTACACGAGGTCCCGATCATGTAATCACTGATTGGCCAATCAGTGATCACATGCAAAGTAGTAAGCAAGATGTCACTTCTGACATCATTGCTTACTACGTGTGAAATTTGTGAATGATCACAGAGGTCACATGGTACAAGGCTATTCACAACAGCCTTGCACCATGTGACAAGCTGTGACCAATCACAGCTCACTCAGTAGTTCTCAATGGCTGCAAGAATGCAGACAGAGAGAAAGAGAAATGATCCTATATGGGTGTGAAAGCAATCAGTGTAAAAAAAAAAATAAATAAATCTTCATCACCCCCCAAAAGTAGTACAGTGTCACCATGGTGACACTGTACTGCTAGGGTGACAGTCTGTAAAAAAATAAATAAATAAATAAATAATAATATAAAAAAAAAATAAAAATGTAAAAAAAAAGTTTAAAAATTTATAATTTTTGGTTATAAACTAATTTGGCTTTTTTTTTTTTTACTAAAAATATAATGGAATAAATTTTGGCCAAGATTTATAATGAAATATTATATATTTGCAAAATTTTATAAGAACAACACTTTTTTTTCAAAATTTTTGGACAATTTCATTTACATAGCAAACAAAAAAAAAAAATCCCAGTGGTGAATAAATACCACCAAAATAAAGTTTTATCTGTCTCAAAAAAATGGTAAAAAATTCATATGGGTACAGTGTTGCATGACCACGCAATTGTCATTCAAAGTGTGATAGCGCTGAAAGCTGAAAATTGCCCTGGTCAGGAAGGGGGTAAAAGTGGAAGTGGTTAAGGGTTTCTTTGTTCACCATGCCCATCCTGTCTGGGGATTGGCCAAGTGTCCTCAAACATGCAGATCTGGGCCTCCTCCTCCCCTGTTCCAGAAAGTTTTCTAAGTTTCTGGAAGGGTGGGAGTGATTTACAAGCTCTGACCTGTAGAGTCTCCTAGCCTGTCCTTAAATGTACTCCTGCCTCACTTCCAGACTGACTTATCCCAGGTTGCTACTCAGCCTCTAGCTAACAAAAAACAATAAACCTAGCTACCTAGAGGGCGATATACAGGTGAAACTAAAAAAATTAGAATATTGTGCAAAAGTTCATTTATTTCAGTAATGCAACTTAAAAGGTGAAACTAATATATGAGATAGACTCATTACATGCAAAGCAAGATAGTTTAATCCGTGATTTGTCATAATTGTGATGATTATAGTTTACAGCTCATGAAAACCTCAAATCCACAATCTCAGAAAATTAGAATATTACATGCAATCAATAAAACAAGGATTGTACATAGAACAATATCAGACCTCTGAAAAGTAGAAGCATGCATATGTACTCAGTACTTGGCTTGGGCCCCTTTTGCAGCAATTACTGCCTCAATGCGGTGTGGCATGGAAGCTATCAGCCTGTGGCACTGCTGAGGTGTTATGGAAGACCAGGATGCTTCAATAGCAGCCTTCAGCTCTTCTGCATTGTTCGGTCTCATGTCTCTCATCTTTCTCTTGGCAATGCCCCATAGATTCTCTATGGGGTTCAGGTCAGGCGAGTTTGCTGGCCATTAATAAACAGAAGATGCTATAAAATAAATCCTCAATGATAAATATGTACAGTCCAAAACCCTATAAGTCCAACATTAAATCAAATCAAGTTCTTCTCAAGTAATAACATGTTAAAAAATCTTTCAGAAACTTTCCCCGATAATATTCCTCAAAAAAAAGAAAATATCACATAGTGTATTATCCTTTTAAATCAAATAATTATAAATTATAGTGACTTAATTCAAGTGAATACCCAATCACATTAATAATCCGTGAAAAAGTGAACAAAGTGCTTCATTAAGTCCAGTTTGCTGGCCAATCAAGCACAGTAATCCCACGGTCATTGAACCGTGCTTTTGGCAGGGTGGGCAGGTGCCAAGTCCTGCTGGAAAATGAAGTCAGCATCCCCATAAAGCTCGTCTGCGGAAGGAAGCATGAAGTGCTCCAAAATCTCCTGGTAGACGGCTGCGTTGACCCTAGACTTAATGAAGCACAGTGGACCAACACCAGCAGATGACATGGATCCCCAAATCAACACAGACTGTGGAAACTTCACACTGGACTTCAAGCATCTTGTAGTGTGTGCCTCTCCATTCTTCCTCCATACTCTGGGTCCTTGGTTTCCAAATGAGATGCAAAAGTTGCTCTCATCAGAAGAGAGGACTTTGGTCCACTGAGCACTTGACAAGAGGAATATGACATTTGAAGCCCATGTCCAGGATCCGTCTGTGTGTGGTGGCTCTTGATACACTGACTCCAGCCTCAGTCCACTCCTTGTGAAAGTCCCCAACACTTTTGAATGGCCTTTTCCTGACAATCCTCTCCAGGCTGCGGTCATCCATGCTGCTTGTGCACCTTTTTCTTCCACACTTTTCCCTTCCACATAACTTTCTATTAATGTGCTTTGATACAGCACTTTGGGAACATCCAACTTCTTTTGCAATTACCTTCTGCGACTTTCCCTCCTTATGGAGGGTGTCAATGATGGTTTTCTGCACAACTGTCAGGTCAGCAGTCTTTCCCATGATTGTGATTCCTACTGAACCGGACTGAGAGACCATTTAAAGGCTCAGGAACTCTTTGCAGGTGTTATGGCTTAATTAGCTGATTAGAGTGGGACACGTTGAGCCTAGAATATTGCACCTTTTCACAATATTCTCATTTTCTGAGATTGTGGATTTGGGGTTTTCATGAGCTGTAAGCCATAATCATCACAAATATGACAAATCATGGCTTGAACTATCTTGCTTTGCATGTAATGAGTCTATCTCATATATTAGTTTCATCTTTTAAGTTGCATTACTGAAATAAATGAACTTTTGCACGATATTCTAATTATTCAAGTTTCACCTGTATATTTTTATTAGAGTATAGCATCAAGTCAATGAAACTCCTGAGATATTGATTTGGTCAGTTAAGTAGCAGAGGGGGTTGTTAATCAGTTTCAAATGCTTTGGTGTTAATACAATTAACAACAGGTGCTCTAGATGGGCAACAATGAGACGACCCCCAAAACAGAAATTATTTTACAGGTGAAGTCAACTGACATTTTTTCCCTACTCATCTTTTCTGACTTATTTTCTCTAGTTTTGCATTTGGCTAGGGTCAGTGTAACTACTGGTAGCATGAGGCGATACCTGGACCCTACAGAAGTTGCACAAGCAGTACAACTTCTCCAGGATGGCACATCAATACCTGCCATTGTCAGAAGGTTTGCTGTGTCTCCCAGCACAGTCTCAAGAGCATAGAGGAGATTCCAGGAGACATGCAGTTACACTAGAAGAGCTGGAGAGGGCCATAGAAGGTCCTTAACCCATGAGCAGGACTGGTATCTGCTCCTTTGTGCAAGGAGGAACAGAATGAGCACTGCCAAAGCCCTACAAAATGACCTCCAGCAGGCCTCTGGTGTGAATGTCTCTGACAAAACAATCAGAAATGGACTTCATGAGGGTGGCCTGAGGGCCCGACGTCCTCTAGTGGGCTCTGTGCTCATACCTGGCACCATAGAGCTTGATTGGCATTTGCCATTGAACACCAAAATTGGCAGGTCCACCACTGGCACTCTGTGCTTTTCACAGATGAGAGCAGGTTCACCCTGACCACATGTGACAGACGTGAAAGTATCTGGAGAAGCCATGGAGAATGTTATGCTGCCTATAACATCATTCAGCATTACTGTTTTGGTAGTGGGTCAGTGATGGTCTGGGGAGGTATAACCATGGAGGAACGTACAGACCTCTGCAGGCTAGACAATGGCACCCTGACTGATTAGGTATGGGGATGAAATCCTTGGACCCATTGTCAGACCCTACGCTGGTGCAGTGGGTCCTGGGTTCTTCCTGGTGCACGACAATGTCCAGCCTCATGTGGCAAGAGTATGCAGGCAGTTCCTGGTGGATGAAGGAATTGATACCATTGAATGGCCCCCACACTCGCCTGACCTAATCCAATAGAACATCTCTGGAATATCATATTTCAGTCCATCTGACACCACCAGGTTGCACCTCAGACTGTCCAGGAGCTCAGTGATGCCCTGGTCCAGATCTGAGAGGAAATACCCCAGGACACCATCCATTGTCTCAGTAGGAGCATGCCCTGACATTCTCAGGCATATATACAAGTACACAGGGCCGTACAAACTACTGAGTACAATTTTGAGTTGCTGCAATGACATTTCAGCAAAATGGTCTAGTCTGCTGCATAATTTTTTCACCTTGATTTTCAGGGGTCTTTGAATTTAGTTCTCTGTAGGTTGATCATTTTCATTTCCATCAAATGATGGGGCATCCTTATGTTCCTAACACATTACCCAGTCCATATCAGTATAGATATCCAGCATAAGATTTTTCCCTATTGAGATCTGATGTGTTTTCAAAGTGTTCCTTTATTTTTTTTTGAGCAGTGTGTGTGTGTGTGTATATATATATATATATCAGAGTTAGGTGATTTTTAAAAGATGTTAGGAGTATGTTCAGTTTATCTTTCATAGATACATAACTTTTTTCTGGGGTTTTTTGGTCATGTTGTCCTTAAATCTTCTTTTTTTTGCCCTGTGGCAGCACTGGGTTGCCTTCATCACCACAGCTCTTTGCACTATTATACTGCCCAAGATGATATGATGAACCCACTACACATGACTTCCACGATGGTCTGGACACACAGGGGTTTATTTACTAAAGCTGGAGAGTCCAAAATCAGACTCCCTTCTGCATAGAAACCAATCAGCTTCCAGGTTTCATTGCCAAAGCTTCATTGAACAAGCTGAGGTTAGAAGCTGATTGGTTTCTATGCAGAAGGGAGTCTGATTTTGGACTCTCCAGCTTTAGTAAATAAACCCCACAGGGTCTGAGTTAATTGATGCTTACCTTCATTTAGCTAGTAGCAAGATTACTTTAGGGGATATCATTGTAGGCAAGGTGAGTATTGTAACAAGAGCTGCATATTTTTTAGATTTTACAACTCCTCTGTATTTAATAATGTTTTTTTCTAATGTAAAAGTTTAGATGTGCTTAAAGTTACTTTTACATCACCTAAAAATGTCATACACTATTTTAGGGCCTTTCTACATCAGGTGGGAAGTTAATGGGTTTCAAGCAAGCTTAGCTGACACACTCAGAGCACCAGATTGATAATAATGGTCAATCCAGTAGTTTAACACTG